CCAACTTATGCAGAGATCGGGAGAGGAGGGGATGCCTGCCTCAGTTCTGGAGCTCCTGATACCCCAACACCATCAACAGTGGGGTAACCGGGGAGGGGGTGCAATTTAGTTTACGGAGACACAGACAGACGACCCTGAACAACTCCTACTGGCCCCATCACATGGGCATGGACATGCTCTGTAGCGCGTTATTTTAGGACTATATGGTTGTTTTGATATTATAAAAGCCAAATAATGCAATTCATTAACTGATTTAAGAAAAGCCATGAGTCTGACAGCTCAACGCCTATTCACAATCCAAATTCTTTCCCCACTAGGAGTAGAAGGAGGATCTAATACGATGAGAACCTACCAAAACCTGGCAGCAAACTCGGCCCTTTGTCCCACCCGTAGCACGCCCAGAATGCCCGCTACAGTCCCTGCCTCCACTCGGCATGGCCTGGGTTCCTGGCCGGTGCAATCAGCACTTGGGCAGCCCCGCAGCGACCTGTCCAGGCACCTCCACGCCCACCCCACATCTCACAGTCAGGGACCCCCTCCCACTCTTCCAGGGCTCTATTCAGTGCCTGGCTCTACCGATTTGTGGACCACGATGTCCAGGCCACCAGGGGCACCTGCTGGAGCTGGAGGACTGGAGCCGGGGCCACCGTGCAGATGTGAGAAGGCAAATCCCACGTGTGCCTGTGTGTGAGGGTGTGCATCTGCCCGAAGCCCTCTCCACGCTCATGGACCCGAACAGGGCTGCTGGGAATGAGGACTGATGATCATCACCAACGCTCATCCTTTTCTCTTCTGTGGACTTTGTCCCAAGCCAGGGGTAGCCAGGGGGACCTCTGGGTTCCGAGTCCTGGACTCTCCGGAACCCACATGGGGCCCTGCTTCAGGGTCACCTCCTTCATATTCCATCTTTGTTGTGAATTTGTTAATAGAAAAGGGCTGCTTTCAAGTCCGCTCTCTGCTGATGATCACCGAGAACCCAAGGCAAGTGGAAGAAGAATTTGAATTTCCATAGAGGCCCCTGAACCATGGTCCTCACACATTGCAAGTTGGGTCCAGGGCAGAGAATGCCTTCCACGCCAGTGTTGCCACCTGGGAGGGGCTAAGGTGCCCTGTGCTGCCCATGGGGGCAGGAGTGACTCTGGTCCTGGAGCAGAGGCACAAAGTGGCCTCCCCTGGGAGGAATGAAGAGAAGCAGCAGCAGAAGCCTTGATGGCGACCTAATCCTGAGGAGGAGGAGGAGAAGAACAGCAAAGAGAAGGAGGAGGGTCCAACAGGGTCTGTTCATGGTGATGGCGGCTGGAGCCTTGCTGGTTCTCTGCATTACAGAGCATGTCCGTGCCCATGTGGTGGGGTCAGTAGGAGTTGTTCAGGGCCATCTGTCTGTGTCTCTGTAAACTAAATTGCATCCCCGGTTACCCCGCTCTTGATGGTGTTGGGGTATCAGGAGCTCCAGAACTGAGGCAGGCATCCCCTCCTCTCCCGATCTCTGCATACGCTGGCAGGGGTCTGTTTTGTGAGTGGCCATAGGTCACTCTATCCCTCTGGGCGGGCATTTTCTCTGCAAGGCAGGCTTGCTCGTTCCTGAGAGGCACCGGATTGTATCTACAGTTTGCTTGGTCTCAGGGCCCTGTAGTCTCCTGCCTACCTGTCCCACAGGTCCTGCTACTGACACTTTAGAGGGCAGGGCTGGGGAGAAAGAGGGCCGTGGACACACAGCAGGACAAGGGGATGCCTGGCCAACCAGCATTGGGTGCAGTTCGGGGGAGTGTGGTTGGTCCGATTCCCGGCCCAGGCTGGCTGGGGTGGGGGCCTCAATATTACTTAAAGGCCTAAAAATACTGCTGGCTGTAAATCAGCCCCTGCTTCAAGGCCATGGGCCCTGCCCAAGTGTGGGAGGAAGGAGCAGGTCTGCACACCACCTGTGTCTACGACAGCCAAGGCCCAATCCCCTAGAGGCTGGAGGGAAAGCCACCTCTGGAAGGCAGGCGAGTGGCCCAGCCATCACCACGTGCCCCCGAGGCCACGGCATCCTGATGAGTGTGGCCAAAGTCTCCCGGTCACTGCCATGGCGCCTGGCCTCACCCATTCTGGATGAGGACCCTCTGGGAAGGATCCCTGGCCACTAGTGGCTCTCACAGCACATGACCTCAGGTGCCAGGAATGTGCACGCGGCGCGGCCGCCATCTGGTTCCCATTACCCACGCTCTGCTGCGGGAAACCTCATCTGCGTCTCTGCTCCCAGCGCCCGCCCGGGAGAGATTGATTTGGGCTCATTAGAGACTCCAGCAGCAGGCTGCGAGGTGAGGCACATCTGTGCCCACGTGGCTCGAGGGCCAGGGCGGGCGGCCGCATCAGTGGGCCAGTGCGGTGCACTGAGGGCCTCGGGGTAAGGATGCCCGTGGAGGCCCGTGGATGCCGGCCCCTGACGCTTCCTCCCCGGAGGCCTGTGCGCCACCACCTGAGAATCTCCAGGGCCTCTGAGGCCAGCTCTGAACCGGATGTGCCCTCGTCTCCGGGCAACGCAGCCATTCTCAGGGGCCGTGCCCAGTGGCAGGAGCACCGTCCTCCTGCTTTGATGTGCACTGCTGAGCCTGGCCCCTTGCCTGGCGCAACACCGTCCCGTAACTACCACATCCAGTCCACAATGCCTGGCTCCCCTTCTGCTTTAACTTTCAAATTCATTAATAATCCCCTGTGCTTTAACTTTTCAGTTCATCACTACAGTAAAAGTTCATCTCTGGACTGGAACATGCCTCATAAATTTAAGTCTTAAGTTCCAGCAGCTGTTTCCCAAACAAGCCAGCAGACACCAGGCAGATCTGGACCAGGCTGGCCAGAGGGGACCCTTTCAGGGGTTCTGGGGATACTGCCAATGGGGTGGGGTTCTCAGGGAAGCCACCTGAGTCTTCAGCCTTTACAAGGTCAGGCTGATTCAAGCCACAGTGGGGTGGGGCACTGGACCCCGCAGTGGGAAGCTGGGGGCCCTGCCTGGTCCCCAGCAGGATGGAGGAGCAGGAAGGAGGGGAGCAAGAGAGAACGCCAAGGCCCACCTGGCTGGGCTCGGCACTCAGCGAGGACGTAAAGACCCAGCACTAGACTGGCTGTGCCTCCGTCTTAAAGATGACAGCCATCATGATGACAGTCACCCCATCACCTCTAAGGTCCACCGTTCCAAGGCCTTGGGACCCTTCCTCCGGGGTGGAGGCATGAGAAGCTCTGCCCTGCCACAGCTGGGCCTGGCTCCATTTGGACGTCTGTCTAACCCCCTTCCCGTGGGGAACAACAGAAGGACAGAGGACGGATGGGTAGTTGGCTTTACTGCAAGTCAGCCATGTACTGGCACGAGCTGATCTGCTGGGAAGGAGCAATGCTAGGGAAGCATGAATGTGCACCGTGTACCCAAACATCACATGTGACTGCTCCTTCCCCCCTCTGGCTGGCTGGCTGCTCCCCACCCTCAGGTCACTGAGATACTGGCAGCCTCACACCAGGACAGCCGGCAGTTGGACCCCGGCTGCTGCTCGCCACTTGTGCCGGTTTTCACCTCCATTCTCGGACAGGATCATTCTCTGTCGGATGCTGGCCCCAACTCCAGCTTCCACATGAAGGGGCCCCTTGCAGGTCTCACTGCGCCTGAGCTGTGTCCATCCCTGGGCCTCTATGTGCGTCACTGTTCTCTCCAGCACCTCCTGCCTCGCTCCGACTCAGCTTCCATCCAAGGGGAAACTGCCCAGGACTCCTCACCCACCATGTGAAACGCCTGCCCCAGCTGTCCTCATTTTGTCCCTCTTACGAGATGACCGAGTGGTGATGCTGCATCCCTGCTAGGCACCGCAGTGTGCCCTGATTTTCTCTGGGGCTGGCTCCTCCCCTCTCCAACCCATGTGCCTACCCAGGGCTTCTTCCTCTGGCTGTGCGGTCCCAGGCTGGCAAGGGTGAGGTGAGGCAGGCTTGCCAGGCTAGGCGACCAGACTTTACCACCTGGTGAGGGGAGACCCTTTCTTCCTCAGCCTCCTGTCCCCACCACAGCTCCTGCAGAGGAGGGCAGTCCTGTCCTCCAGGACTCCAGCGCTGAGCGCCCAGGTGAGGCCAGGAGGCCAGCCTGCTGCTGCTTCTGCTGGCAATCTCCCTCACGGCCACACGTCTTGCAGTAGGGGCCCTGTTCCCCCACCAGACCTGGGTTTACAGTAGCTTCTACTTGCCAGCCAAGTGGCCAAGTCTCAGCCTTCCAAGGCTTCCTGGTTAATGGGGACTCCTTGGCCACCACAAGACACTGGAATGCACCCAGGCCACCCTCCCGGGGCCAAGAGGCACAGCACATCTCATCCCCTGGTACCTGCACTAGTGTGAGGCCTGGACAGGAGGCTCTCCACCCCCCAAGTCCTCCCGCCAGGCCCCAGACAGAGCTGAGGGTGCAGGCTGGGCCAGTGCATGCTGAGCACCAGCCACAGGCCCAGACCTGGCCCCCAAGTGCTCCACAAGCCATGTGGGAAAGTTCATGGAGAGCTTATGGGAAGGGTTTCAGCAACGCCCAGCTCTGCCCCGAGGCCCCACACCCCTTCCCCATCATGGCTGGCAGTGAGGAACCGCTTCCCTGGGGTTGGCTTGCAGACTGCCCCGGGGGCGTGACTCCGTGGGTTTCTCCACACTGGGTTGGTTTTGGTTGATTAATCAGTTCCTTACTGACCGAATTCCTCTGAGTTTTTGCAAATGGACTTGCCTACTCCCGGACTTTACATGCCTTTTCTCTAGATGGACAAGACGTGACTGCTGTTAACCCAAGGTCTGAGAGAAACCCAAACCATGTGAACGGTTCACAAACGCCCACGCCCCCTTCTTCCTGCGCCGGCCCTGCGGACAGGCTGGCCTGCACCCCGCCTTGCAGTGATTAATTAGCCAGGGATCTGCAACAACTCCTCTTCATGCCTAAATATTGTTTCAGCCTATCAGACTGTTAGTGCAAAGCAGGATAAATGACACCTCGGGTCTGGCGCACTGACCTGCAGGGCCTGCTGCTCATCCAGGCTCCAGACAGCCAGCGCCTTCTCCGCGGAGCCCGAGACGCCCCTGGCCTTCTGGGAGTCAAAGTCAAAGCCCATGACGGGCTCCGTGTGGCAGGCGACGCGGCTGCACACCTTCCGCTCAGAGACGTCCCACAGGGCCACCGATCCGTCCTCATAGCCGGCCAGGAGGAGTGGGCGGGGACCGGAGTCGGCCTGCAGGGACAGCGCAGCAGTCAGCTCCCAAAGGTTCCTGGTACGTTTGCGGGGAGAAGGGGCTCCAGAGAGGGGGCCAGTGGAGTGGCCTGGCTGGGGAGCCAGGCCCCGTGTCCTCCAGGGGCGGTAACAGTTTGGAGGCTCTGTGTGCCCCCCCCCCCCCGGATTGTAGACGCCAGTGCTGCCGGGCTGGCATGGGCCGCTGTTGGGGGGCTCTGAGGACGGAGGCTGCAGGGCACAGAGCCCAAGGTTGCCCAGCGCGGCGCCCTGCCTCCCGCTGCCATGCCCCTGCTCACCCGGCCGGGTGCTGCTGCGTCTTCCTGCCTCCCTCCTGCAGGCTGAGACTTGCGGCCACCCCTTCGTGAGGCCGGTCACCTGTCTAGAACTGCCAGCCAAAGGAAATCGCGAGCTCCATCTCAATGAAAAATGAACTTTCTGTGCTTTGTCAATGTCGCCGCGGAAGCCCCCCACCCCCCAGGCCTGGTGAGTCGCCAGGGCGCTGACTGGTGTGAGCCGAGCTCCGAGCTCCGCCGGCCCTGAGCTATTGTGATGAATGAGGACGCGGGTCAGAGGGCTGGGCACCCGGGACAGACGCCTCGTTTATCTAGCCCCAGCAACCACTCCAGGGGAGCGCCGCGAGATCCCCTGTCACCCCGGCACTGAGAGCGGCAGCCCCACGCTTGGTGCCCAGTCTCTGGGACAGCGACCCAGGCTGTTTCGGGGGCAAAGCACAGGCCAGCTGATACGTTTTGCTCTTCACTCCTCTCTGCATTTCCTGCTGAGCTGCCTGGGGTTTGTGTCACTCAAGTGTCAGAAATAACTAAGCACATCCCCTCCCCAGTGGATTTTCCAAGAGCCTCGGGGAACTCTGGGCCTGGACCCCAGCGCTGGATGGTCAATGGTAAGAATGGGGTCCTGGGGTGGGGGAGCTGGTCATTGAGGCTATCTCCCGGGTCACCTGCAACTCTCAGGACAGTCCCCTGCTGGCGGGCAGGCTGGCGCTGTGCAGAGTGCCTGGGCCTCACTGGTCGTGGGCTGCTGACAGGAGCCACAGCACCATGGAGGCTCTCCTTGCCCACCTGCTGGAGCTCCTGTTTAGGAGCTGTGTGGGTGCTTCCATCTGCCCAGAGGGGCTCCGGGCCCAGATGTAGTGCACATCACATGGAGTTCCTCTCCACAACATTCAAGAGTGCCCAGAGAGAACCTCTGCTCAGCTAAGCAAGGTGACAGGGTTTACCCAGAAGTCACAGGGCCTGTGTCTCATGAGTGGATACTACTCCCTCTACACACGGAAGCAGGGCTCTCTCTGTGCATCAGAAAGGGAAACTGAGGCTTTAGGAAGTGGTGTATGTCACCGGGGCCCTGGTTAGTGATGGGAGCCGGGGGAAGCCTGATGCAGACCAGCGCTTTGATCAGAAGGAGGTGGAGGTGCCAGGGGATGGCGAGGACACAGCCACGAAGACCTGCCCACAGCACAGTGAAGCCTCCCAGGCCAGAGCTAGTCTGGAGGACGTCCCCTGCACTTTTTCTGAGGATACTACATGTTCATACAAAGAAAGGCTCCTTAGTTTCACTTGGCCTGTGGCTGCCTGTGCCCATCCTTGGGGCCTCTCCAGGGGGCCCAACGGGGCAAGCAGTGAGGATATGGGCCCTGTGTGTGCCCAGTGCTGGTGGTGCCCGCCCTGGAGGGACCAAGGTTGAGAGCAGCGGAGCGTGGTCACTGCCTCCATCTGGCCTCCCGTGCGAAGCCATGAGTGTCGGTACATTTCTCTGTGGTCTCTCTAGTTCTGTAATGGGGAAGAGCTCCACTTTGGTATCTTTCAAGTCACCCAATTGGAAATTAGTGTTGCAGTATAAAATTATTTATACTGCTTTTCTCCAGAGATGTACAGGGTGTTTTAAAAGTGGTCAGCACCTCTGCTCAAGCACCTCCTTCCAGACAGCTGTGCCTCTCCAGAAAAGGCGTCCTGCCATGACCCGGACCTGGAACGGTGGGAGCCAGTTGAGAATAGCCTGATGCACTGTCTACATGCGGACCAGAAACCCATGCCAACCCCCTAGGGCAGACCTGCTGGAGCCCACCCTGGAGGCTAGCTCTGAGGAACCCGCCTAGGACCCACTTGGGTCTGTTCCCCCAGGACAGTGATCTGTCTTGTGGCCTGCCTCCCACCTACCCTGTCGCCACCCAGCCTCCCTCTCACCCTCTGCCCCCAGGGCCTTGCTCCTCCGATCCCCTGGGCACATTCTCCCTCATCTGGGGCTCCTCCCAGTACCAGCACATTGGTTTTGGTCTGTCTCTGTAGCCCGGGTCCACATGATGCCTCTGGTCTCTGGGTTCTGAGCACCTCGGCTGCATGCTACTCATCACCTATCCAAGTGTCACAGGGTAACTAAATCAGGAGTCAGACTGACATGCAGGGCTCATCTCAGTTGCCAAGGGTGACCAAATGCTGAGCTCCAGCCCTGATGGCTGCTGCCCACCCTGTGCTGTGGCCCATGGCCCCCAGTGACAGCACAGGCACAGCAGCGGTCTCATGGCCTCAGGCCTTTGGTGATAGGCTAATCCATGGGGTGAGGATCTGAAGTTGCCACAAGGACTTTGTGTCCTCTCCTGTCTCTGGGCGTGCTGGCAGGGACTCTGGCAGGCAGGCCCCACCTACAGCACCTCCTGGGACCAGCCCTGTGGGGAGCGCCCAGCTCACTAGAGGGGACCCAAGACCCAGGGTCTGAAGCCTGCACTCAGGGCTGCTGTGAGACATATTCCTGACCTTTACAAGTCAGCTGCTTGGAAGAGCAAAACAGGAATATGAGGCACCTGGGTGGCTCGGTGGTTAAGTGTCTGCCTGCCTTCGGGTCAGGCCGTGCTCCCGGGGTCCTGGGATTGAGCCCCGCGTGGAGCTCCCCGATGAGCGGGGAGTCTGCTTCTCCCTCTGCCCTACCTACCCCTACTCATGTGTGTGCATGTATGTGCTCGCATGCACACTCTCAAACTCTAAAAAAAGAGAATACACCTGAATGTTTCACTGAGAATTGTCAGGCTCCTCTGCCACACTCAGATTAATAAATTACAACCCGGACCTTCAGGTTTGGAGAGAAAAAAAGGACATTTCAAATTAATGTCAACTTTTTTTTTTTAACAGAATGCTTTGCGTTGGATCTGTATCAACTAACAAAAACTCGATTTGTCCTTCTGTCAACTGTATTAATTACCTTAACAAGTTTGTACATCCCGTTTCTACACATTTTTCTGCTGGAATTTTTACATGATTACGCAATGACAGTGTTTCCAGGGAGCAGAGTGTGAGCAGATGCAGCCGTAATGCCCTGCCCGGGAGTGTGAGTGCCACAGCACAACCCCAGGCGTCATGGCCTCGGGGCGTTCCCCACCGCAAACTTGCAGGTGCCAGAAGCACGTCATTCAGGCGAGTCTCCTGGAGCCCCCCCCAGCTCAGCTCCCTGTGGGCTCCTCTCTGGGACGTGCTGCAGCGGCAGGACACCACAGGAGCAGCTCATCAGAGATTTCCAATTGGAAACAAATACCAATGGTTAAAAAGCTGCAGTGGGGGAACCAATGGCAAGAAGGTGCAGGTCCCTGGAGGGACAAAAAGTGTGGGGCAAGGTCTCTAAGGTGCCTGGCCTTGTGGGTGCTGTTGGTCTCACAGACATCTCTAAAGTGCCCAAGCTCATCTTGTGAAAAGCTCAAACCAGCAGTGTGGCAGGATCCCCTCCTCCTGATCCCAGGCAGCTCAGCACGGCTCCCAGAAGGTGCTGCTGAACTGCACAGAGCTGGGAAGATGCCTATAAGCAGCACTCCCCAAGGCAGGCACTGGTCAATGACCTAGCCACCATGGTTTCTGACCAGCAGAGACAGTGCCCGGGCTTCTTCCCAAGTGCACACACCAGACCATTGTCTTTGCCCCAAATATGAGCAGCCCTGAGACACAGAAACGTACACTTGGAGCATTGCAGACTCGGGTGGCAGGGAGGGGGCTGTGCCTTGAGGAGGGACGGGGCTTCTAATAGAGGCAGGTGGGCAGGCCCAGGAGGACCCCTCTCAAGGTCTCACTCTTGGTCTCAGAGCCGAAACCCATCCTGCCAGGACTCAGGCATGCGACCCACTCCGCGGTCCAAGGCTTCAGCTGCCAGCTCCAGGAGATGCCCTCCAACTCTCTCTAATCAGAAAGAATAGACGAGAGAGGGAAATGGCTGGGACTCAGAAATGCCAAGTGCGGCCACAGGGAAAGTCAGCATGTTAAGCCCACTCCTGCCTCTGAGGCAAAGAAGTAACAAAAAGTAATCCCAAGCAACGCGGGGCCCAGGCAGGCTTGCCGGGTTAGTCAGCACTTCCCTCCTGGCCAGCCCTGCGCACAGCTGCAGGCCGCGGGGCCGCTGACTGCGGGCGGAGAGGAGCCGAGCCGGAGGCCCTCGGCGGGGCGCTGCTCCGCTGACCCGGCTGTCCCTCTGCGCAGCTCGGGCAGGGGGCGCCCTGCGGAGGTCAGCAGAAACCGGGCTGCCCTGGCAGTTTGTAGGAGCGGCAGCGGGAGCAGGAGGGCAGCAGGCACAGGGACTTCCAGGGCGCTAAGTGTCCTTTGCTGTGACGATAAACCGAGTCCTGAATGGGGCATGATTCACGGCCCGGAAGGTGTGGCTGGCAGGGCGTGGTTGGCGTGCGCTGGGCCTTACCTGCCACAGCTCCAGGCACATGGGCATGCCCGGCTTGGCATCTGCCTCGGGCTTCAGGGTGCACACTGACGTCTTGGATGGCATCTCCAGAATCTGAACCTGACAGTAAGAAAACAAGTTGATTTGGGCCGGCGCCAAGTAGAGCCTGTGCTATACAAACAAGAGACTTTTAAGGCGATTAGCCAAGGCTGCTGCGAGTTTCTGTCTGCTGCCCGCAGGAACCTGGGAGCCGAGCCTCCTAATTAGGCCGCACGGGCTCGTGGGCCCCGGCACTGTTGGGCGTTGTGAAACTCACACGTCATTTCTGGGTGACCGGTGTGTCCCTCTAACCAGCATCACCACCTGGCAGCCGCCTCCAGCCTCTCCCGATTTCACCTCTCCACTGAGCAGGAGGCTTGCTTGGCACTGACTCAGTTTGCCCATCCTCCTTATCTCTGCCTCCTCCTCTCTCCTGATGTGGGTTTGCATGTGAACAGCTCTGAACCATCTCAGGCACACCAAATGGTTTACAGAGGTGCACAGGGAATACTGGGGGACCGGCAGCAAGCCTAGGAAATGAACCCGGTGTGCACAGAGTTGTTTGGGGCCAGGCCGTTCCCAGCACCCCGCACCTCCCTCCTGGGCACCTCTCTCCTGGGCACCACGGTGGTGTTCTGTGTCACCTGAATGCAGGGGCAAGCCCTCCAGCACCTAGGCTGGAAGATGTGCCTTTCTGGTGCATGTAGCCAGGTCACACTCAGGCCTGTCCACCTGAGTTGGGCCCACCTCTTCCCCACGCCATCTGCAGGGGACAGCTGCAGCCATGAGAAGCGGGCATCTGCATCCCCAGTGCCTCATCTCCCTCATCCACCAAGCAGGGACAAGGGCGCCCCCTCCCGTGGTCCTTGGAGTTGGAGGGGATCCCGAGCGAGGCAGGGCTACTGCTTCATGTTGGGGAGGCTCCCCTTGAAACTGGCGAGAGGGGCTGTACTGATAACGTCACAACAACGTGCAGCCATCGTGGAGCCACATATCATCCCTTGCCAACAAGAGGACATCCTTTGGTCTGCAGATGAAGAGTCTGAGGTGCAGAGGGGTTGGGGGTGTTAAAGGGACAGGTGGCATGCTGTCTGACGCCCAGTAAACCGGAGGCATGTGGGTCTGAGCCAGGCTGCCCTCATAACCCACACGAGAGAACCAGCCCAAGGCCTGAGATTAAGCCCTGAGTGTGAGTTCCAGATCGGCTACCTGCACGGTGGGTCTGTCTGAGGGCACACTGAGGGCAGGGTGGAAAGCCAGAGGCACAGCCTGGTGCTCTCAGCTACGGGCCTGCGTGGGGGCAGCAGGACTCTCACCAGAGGCTGACAAGGTATCCTGGCATAGAGGAGGGGCTCACAGCAGAGTGCACACACGTGTGTACAAACAGGCACACGTATGTACACACCTGCACATAGGCTCCCTCACCGTCTGCTGGGCCTGCAGGATCAGTGTCCATGCTGGCCACCACAGCCCTCGCTGCCCACAAAGGAGACAGAAAAGACCCTAAGTGACGTGTGTGGTTATTACTGTCATGAAACAAGAGGCTGCGCGAAGGAGCCCCTGAACAGCAAAGATGCTCAAGGAGAAGCTCTGACAAAACAAAGAGAAACACAAGAGAGAAGTCACATGACGACCAAGACACAGTGGTACCTAAGTATGGCCCAGAAGTCAGGGGAAAACCCAGGAGAAGGGAGAGTGGGCTTTTGGAGCCCTTGGATCCTTGGCAGTGAGGACTAGCGACTGAGTTACGGGCTTGTGGCTTGAGAGCCGGCTGTAGACGCTGCGGGAAGCCTGTGAGCCCCGGCCAGGGCCTGCTCACCCAGAGGCCTGGCGCTCCACAGGACAGAGAAAGAAATACTCCCTGCAGTGAGGACGCTTGGGCACCCAGCCCTGTGTGAGCGCAAAGCAGCGCGCTGTCAGCTGTGTGAACGGTCTATGCCTCTGCTGCTTTAGAGCCCACGTAGCCGACCCACATCTGTGCTGTGATGGGACGATCTGCATGGCCACGATCAAACTGCCGGGGAGCAGGACACTTGATTTCCTACCTTCTGCACTGCTCTACCGCTAGACTTCTGAAAATGAGATTTGTTCTTTTTGTCACATCAGGAGGATGGGTTTAAGATGCTGACTGGGTGGGGGCATCTGGGTGGCTCAGTTGCCTAAGCAGCCGACTCTTGTTTTGGGCTCAGGTCATGATCTCAGGGTCATGAGACAGCCCTATGTCGGGCTCTGTGCTGGGCGTGGAGCCTGCTTAGGATTCTCTCTCCCCCTCACCCTCTGCCCCTCCCCTCACAGTTTTTTTTTAAGTGTCTTAAAAAAAAATATGTTGGTTGAGGGATGAGGGGATAAGCCACCCTGAGTAACTACGTGTGCTGGTGGGGAGACAGACACCCCCTGTGGGAGGACACACAGCCTGCACAGACCACACCCTGGATGGCCTGGCACAAGGGTGCACAGGTACAGTAAGGGATGCCTCTCCCAATCTGTGGGCCCAGGAAGATCCCTCTGGTGGCAGTGAGGAGGGGTGTGAAGGCCAGGGGATCGGGTAGGGGTGAGTCACCCTGCAAGTCTGATCTGAGAAAAGAAGGGGAAAGCCGGGACAGCCCTAAACCCTGAGCAAGACACTATGGGGAGGAAGCATGAGTGGCGGCACCCACAGCCACATCCTGGGTGCAAGGACCAGGGCAAGCCCAGGGGCTGCTGCGAGTCCGAGGTGTTGCTCTGGGCTCTGGCCAAGGGCCTGGACGCCTGTGCTCAGAGCCTCCTACAGACACCAGTGTGCTTTCCATCTTGGAATGCAAGTGTGGGCAAGTGTGGCCACCCAGTGGGGTGGGAGCATGTCGTCCCCGGGCATTGTCTGGGCACAGGCCAGAGATGCTTTTCCAAGCAGATTCAGTCCAGGCACATTCCAGGCGGGAACATGAAAAACCACCATTTTCCCAATTTATACGAGGTCCTCGGACTGGCTGCTCCTGAAAAGCACTGCACTGCACTGGCGAGTGGAGCCAGCAAGTCAGTTAAAAACAACCTCAAGCAGCACATGTGGGGTGTCAGGGGCCAGGCCCTGGGAAGTGACAGGCAGCCGGGAAAGCCTAGGCTGGCAGGGAAGAGGACAGCCCATGGCATCCCCACCTCAGGAGGAAGGGCTGGCTCAGCCCCAGGCTGGGCTCCGTGGTGTGCAGCGCAGGAGCGAGGCTTGCCACTGCTTGGCCCCAGCGGTCTGGGAGGAAGCACACCCCTCTCTTTTCACATTAATAAAACTTTTAACAGGTTTTTGGCAAATTGGCAAGAAAAGTGTATGTAGCTCCTAATTGGTGATTTAAACGCAATCATGAACAAATAAATGCCTGTTCCTATCTCATTATTTATGAACTAAATCTGCTTTAAGACAAACGAGTCTTCTTGGGTAGGGGCCAAACCTCACGGCGTGCACAGAACCCCGTGTCCCTGCCCAGTGCCGCCTGCTGCACAGCTTCTTGGGGCCAGCAGGGGACACAAGGAGACGTGGGGGTGGGCGGCAGACAGGAGGCTCCCTGTCCCCCACCATGTGCACACCCACAGCCCTCCCCGCCCCACACTCAGAGCCCCTGGGTCCCCACCACTTGGCCGCACCCCCACACTCACCAGGCCTGTCCAATCACTGCTCCTGGTTTCTTCTTCGGTTTCCCTTCAGCTCCCCACCAGCGAGCACCTCTAGCCACACCCTCGTCCTTTACCTTACTGTCCACCCTTGCTTCCTACCATCTGTTCCCATGTCCTGGGCACTGTTTCCATTGGTGGACTCTGCTCTGCTGCCTCTGGAAGTACGGACAAGCTGCCCAGCCTGACCAGATCCCCATCATCAACTACTGCTGGCTGCTCTGGCCTGTGCTCCATCTGACGGTCACCTCGGAGGCTCCATCACACCCACATGGAGCCTCATTCCCTGAGTCACTCACCTGTGCCCTATGTACTGTACTTACCACCCCAGAGCCAGCCTCTATCCTCAGCATTCCAGGTCCGACCAAAGCCTCTCTTGCCAGGACCCAGTTCAGCTCCCCAAAGGCTACCCTCCCCTGCTGTGCTGGCTCTGATGCCCAGACTTCCACAGGGCCTCAATTTTTCTCCCTTACACCTGCTCTTAAATCCTCTGAGTGCCTTTCTGGGCAGTCTTTCCCGCTGGACTCATGATGGCCTCGAGCCTCATGCTGGGCAGTACTGGGGGCTGGGGCCTCCCTTCCTGACTCTCACCACCAGGCACCCCACAGGTGGCCAGGCCAAGGTCCTTGGAGCTGCAATCCAGTAGACAGACCTAGACCTGCCACTCTGGGGTCTTGTGGTGGGCAGAGTGTTCCTGTAACAGGTGCTGAGGACGAACACGCCCATCTAGGGGAACCAAGTGCAAGCAGCTCAAGGAGCCAGGCACCACGTGGGCAGGCACTCACCTCATCATTGCCTCTCCCCGGCATAGCCAGCATCCAGCGCTCCTGACCCCCAGCCAGGATGGAGCTCCTGCAGAAGCCCATGCTCTCCAGTGGCACAGAGTCCACAACAGTGTTTCTGCCCTCTGCCAGGTCCCACAGGCACAGCTTCAGGTCCCGGCCTTGACTGCCAAATCAAGAGGAGACAGGCCGTTAACCCTCCAGGTGAGCCAACTGGGTGCCCCACCTGAACAAGTGCTGGCATGCCGGGGCCAGCCTGATGCCAAAGGCAGGCAGGGGACACCTTCCAGAGAAGGACCCAGATGGCATAAATTATCTGGCTGGGGCACCTCAGCCAAGGAAAGGCTTTGCATCCAAGACGCCTGATGCCTGACACATTCATAGACCATCCCAAGGGTGCACAGCCAACCAAGTCCCAGGGAGCTTCAGGACATGTACCCCATGACCAGCCTCCCCTGCCCTTCCTGCCTCTCCCCATGCTGCCAAAGTGTGAGCTCGTCCTCTTCCCTCCCAGTTCATGAATTAACTGTGACAACCCAGCCATCCCACCCTCATGAATTTTCCCCAGTGAATTCAAAACCTATATTCACACCAAAGCCTGTACAGAAATGTTTATAGCAGCTCTGTTCCTAACTGTCCAAACCAAACTGGACACGACCCTTTGGTAGGAGGTTGGGAAATTAATTGTGATACATCCACATGTGATACATCCTCCCTGTTGCTGAATTCACTCAGCAACAGGGAGGGCCAATCTGGGACGCATGCAGCAACCCGCAGGAATATCAGATGCATCTGCTAAGTGAGGGAAACCAGAGCCAAAAGGCCACCTACTGCATGATCCCACTGGTGGGACATTCTAGGGGCAGCATGGTGGCATGTGGAGGACGGGGGGGCTACAGAGGGTGGCACAGAGGCTCTGCAGTGGGCTGATTGCCCTGTGTGGCCCCAGGGTAGCACTCACATGGTGGTAGGCCTTGGCAAGCCCACAGAACAACCTTTAGTGTGTATATTCTAAGAAAACAATCACAGTATCAAGATCCCAAGATGGACTGCAGTCTGTGCCAAATGTACAGCACACCGCACCCAAGGGGAGGGCAGACAGGAGCTGACCCGCAGAATTACGGAAAAGTGTGTTGACTCGATACTACAAAATTAAAGGCAAAATACCTTTAGAGAGACGCAAGGCTCTAATGGTTAATCTGTATCCTAACCCTCCAACAGCTCAGCCTGGTCACACACCAATGCTGCCCACCTGCCTGCTAGTCTCCACGGCCCCCGGCAGGTGACTCCCATGCCCACCACCTCCTACATTTACAAGATGCTATCCCATGGGAAGAATGGGCTTTTCTCTCTCCTTCTCTTCCTATCAGTTTGGACTTCAGTATTCCTTTAGTACTCTACATTTCTTGTTATTTATTTTTATGCTCAAATCATCCCAAATTAGCCAATGGGACCCCTTCAAGCTGGCTCAGAGATCCTTCTGACACGTGTCCATCAGCAAGATATTCCAGACCGAGAATCCCTTCTCCAAGGAATCCTTGGTCCTTCCGGTGCAGAGAGATACTTGCAATCCAAGATCTGGGTGTTGGTATGCTCATTACTGTGAGGTGCCGCTGCTGTCAGGCCCTCTCAGGAGAGTCAGGAAATACACACACACTCACACAAACATACCTCTCTCTCTCACACACACGTGTGCACGGGGACACTCACACACGCAAACACATCTCGTTCACACAAACATACTTCAGACACACATATAAACATACCTCATGCATACATTCACAAATGTCACACACACCCCTCACTCACGCATGCAAATGTACGCACACACAATATACCCACCCCTCACTCACTCACACACACACACACACACACACATGCAAACATATACATACAAACAAGTATTTCTGTGTCTTTGTGTATATGTTTTCAAAATCCCACAAGTTCATGCTGATGCCTCGAGGCTTCTTCCTCCTTCTCAGGTTAGTGACTCCATTCTCCAACTGGGAAGAACCTGCCTCCCATTTTCCTCAAGATATTTACTGCCACACTCCACTGACAAACTAGCTTGCACGATGCAGCCAATCTCCCAACCTCCACAGCCACCTCTGAGACCTTGCCCCCACCACTCTGGTTCTCTGGCTGCTGGGCACGCTGTTCCAACACCTCTTCCAGGAAGCCTCCCGCACGGTCCACGTCCTCAGCTGCCCACACTACTGAACCTGGAGGGGAGATGAGGGCAGAGAGCATGGGACCATTGCTATCCACACAGGAACGAAGGACGCTCACGCACACCAACAGTCCATTCCAGATGAAGTGTGGGCTCAAAAGTAACAAGAGAGAAGCTCCTGGGAGAGCAAGAAGGTCTTCAAGGCCTGTTGCTGGACTCCTTCACATGAAGCACGAGCCATAAGGGAAAGATGGCAGATTTGATCCCATTTGAATGGCTACCTTCTGCTCATTAACACATCATTAAGTGGGAACCGGAAGCCACTTTGTGGGAGAAGTAACTGGTGATATCAAAATATCAACCATAAAAAAAAGAAAAAGAAAAAAGAAAAATATCAACTGTATCTAGAATAAAGAAATTGTAAAATAATAATAATAATAATAATAATAATAATAATAATAAAAAGAACTGTAACTCAATGAGAAAACGGTAGTCAATCCAATAGAGAAATGCGGATTTTTTTTTAAGATTTTATTTATTTATTCATGAGAGACACAGAAAGAATGGCAGAGACACAGGCAGAGGGAGAAGCAGGCTCCATGCAGGGAGCCCCACATGAGACTCGATCCTGGGGCTCCAGGATCATGCCCTAGGCTGTAGGCGGCGCTAAACTGCTGAGCCACCGGGGTTGCCCAAGAAATGTGGATTTAAGGGGACTTTATCCCAGTGCTCATAAACGCAGAAGAAGGCTAGCTCATTAAGTGGTCAGGAGAATGCAAATGAGGCCTCCAGGCCCCAGAAAGAGTGGATGGGTGGGGGTCCTCGCATGGGGGGCAGCCTGGCACCCTCCGAGCAGCCCAATGTGTGCACACACCCTGTGGCCCTGACATGGGTACACCTGGCACCTGGAGACCCAGGAAGGAGTCTTCTTAAGTTTCCCAGCCCCAAGTGGACCACCCAGATCTCCACGAGCAGTAGAATGATAAATAACCTGGCATACGTACACATCCAGCAGGAGAGCACACAGAAAAAACCCACACAATGTGTCACAGCCACATGTACCCTGGTGGGTCTCACAACGTACAGCTGAGTGGAAGGAGTCACATACAAAGGAAGCTGTCTGTACGGCCTCGTTTTTTAAGTAAGAAAAAAAACCAGACCTAACAAATCTATGCTTTTTGGAGATGCACATTCAGATGGTAAAGCAAGAAACGAGGTGCGAGGGGCTGCCGCCCGAGGACGAGAACAGAGCAGATGTCAGGGCTGGTTACCCAGGTGTCCACTCTGTGATAACACAAGTCTGTAAACTTGTTCTGCGCACTTTTCTGTAAGTGTGCTACAGTTCACAATAAAACAGAGAGAAAACAAAACCACCCAGGTGGCTGTCACTGGGCACAGGTGCACCCTCGGGCATGTGGGTGGCACCTAACGCTCAGCCTGGCTCCCCGCTTTCTGCCCTCCAGCCTCCCCTTGACATGAAAGCGTACCTTCCTTTCTCAAGGACCACTTTGGAGAGACCTGGCTTCCAAACACAGCTGGGCGCACGGCCTCTAGTGCAACGTAAACGCACCTGGGCACTCCAAGTACCTGCGACACCCCCGCTGCGAGCCCCCTAACCTGGGCCCCCGACTGGAGCAGGGCCACGGTGGTGCCGTCCAGCTTGGGAAGGGAAGCACCATCACTCGCTCACAGGTTGCTGTTGCAGCTTGCAGCTTGCCTCCCCATACAACATCAGGCCAGCTGAGGGCCAGAACTCAGGGCTGGGAGTTCCTGGAGAACAGCCCAAGGCACCTGGGCCCTGGAGGAGCAGGAGGTGCCACAGGGCCTAAGGCCTTGGCTGAAAACTCAGGAGGAACATTTATAAACCGCAGTCTCCAGTGCAAGTGGTTTCGTGGGGTATTTGGATGCAACATCTATTCTAAACATCAGGGACAGTCCACAACCACAGGGAGGGCCTTCCCACCCCTCGGGGGGCTGCGGGCCAGCCTGGGGTGCTACAAGCACACACGTCCGGGGCTACCACCCTCCTGGATACTGCTGGGCCTTCCATCACCCGCGAGCCACCTGCAGAGTGGTAGGACCGTGCCTGGCACAGAAGTGCTTTGGAGAAGGGTGGGTCCCAACAGACCCCTGTCCTTTGGGGACTGGGAACCGTGGTGCCGAGATGTCCAGGCTCCCAGTTCATAGCAGGAAGACAGACCCGCTCTGGAGGGCATTCAGGAAAGTTTCACCTGTACTTGGTAGACATAAATGCATTCTCTCACCCACCTGCTCCCTCCTGCTGCCTCCTGGCCCACCTCTCACCTGGAGTCCCCAGCCTGGGGGACAAGGCCACAGCAGCAGTACCAGAACATAGCCCCTCTGGGCTCTGCTGCCCGGGCTCCAGCCCCTCACAGCCCAAGCACATCCTGGTTCTGGCCCACGCAGCTTCCTGTCAGGAGCGCCAGGCCCCCACCCTGCTCTTGCCATCTCCTGCTCCCCCGGCACCGGCCCCCGCAAATGCCATGGACCTGGGCTCTTGTGTGGCACTCCCAGTGCCCCCGGGAGTGGCTGCTATCGGCGTTGGGAGCACAGCCCCAATCGGTAGGTGGGCTTTAGGCTCTGGCTCTGCACCACCCTGGTGACCAGTCCCCATCACCTCGTGGGAAGGTGGCCACCCATCAGAGCAGGTGTCATGACACCAGCTACTCTAAGGAGAAGGCTTGAGCTCAGCCACGGACCCCTAGCTCTTGCCACTGGAGAGCCCTGGCAGGCCAGGAAGGACTCTGCTCAGGCCATGGGTGGCGTGGGGCTACAGATAGAGCTGTTTTGTGTTCATCAAGCTCTTCTCAGTGGGCACCTGCCTGGACAGCGCCGTGGTCACAGAGGGTGCAGTGACAGGCACACAGCATACCCAGATACTGCTTCAGGGTGGGTCAAGAGCAGAGGTCACACTGCTCTGCCATTGGCAGGAGCTGCCCGGCAGCTGGGGGAGACCCCGAGAGCCTCCACTGGCAAGCTCCTGGCCCCTGCTGAAGGCCACAACTTAACTCCTTTGGGATTGTACTTGCTGGCACCAAGACCCACCTGAGGAGCTGGTGTCCTTGGGGCAGTGTCTGCAGCCAGGTCACACACTGGCCCCCATGGCCGTCCAGGGTAGCAACCGCCCTCCGTGTCTGCAGGCTCCAAATGTGCACCAGCCCACTTAGGGACCTGTTCTGACAAGCGTAAGTACAAGCTCAGGAAGAGGCGTCAGGGGAGGGCATTCCCAGCATGCTCTGCAGGGCTGGCCTAGAACCACACAGCTGGTGGACCAGATATTTAGTCGGTAGCTTTTGGTTTAGGTGACGGCCGTAACTGTGAGCTGAGGGTAAAAGTGGCACAGTGCTCCTTTTCCAAGGACGGCGGGCAGAGGGCCCTCAGGAGCCATGGAGGCACCGCGGGCAGAGTCTGAGAGGGACAGACGGTGGCCGCTGACACCATACACCGGATGGTGTCTCTCACAGAGAGGGCGAGCTCCCTGCCTTCTCCGAGGGGCCAGGCCCAAGGGACAGCTTGGCGAGCAACTTCTGAAAAGTCAGCGTCCCCATGACCCAGTGTCACTAAGATCCCCAAGTGAGCACAGGCTCATTGCTAGCCCACCACCCGCTAACATCACCTGGGCTAACCCCTGGGGTTGGGTTGGGGCCGTAGCTACTCACCCTGAGAGGAGGAGTGGGTGCACCTGTCCCTGGGCTCCTCCGAAGAAATGCAGCGCATGCACCGCTGACTGAGCACCTCGGAGGACAAAGCGGGGGTCTGGCGGTGGGAGTGGGGAGGCTGCCATATTAGGCGGGGGTGCAGTCATCTGGGGACAAGGAAGGGTGTAAGTGACCTGCCTGTCATCCTTCAGGAAGGCAGGAGGAGCCTCCCTGGATACTGCCCACCCCCTTCAGCCTGTCTTCCACCTTGCCTATTGGCCCCTATACCCAAATGGCATCACTGTGGCCCCAACCTGTACCATCTCGGGCGGGCACAGTGACTCCCACACCCTTCTGAGGCCACTCTCACCCTCAGTGCCCTGCAGAGAGCCAGCCACTGGCCTCCAGGGCTTGCTGCACCCTCTGACTCCCCGAGTCCCACTGGCCACACAGCATGCAGGCTGGCTTCTCCTCACCTGGGCTGTCCACACGCCTGGAGTGCCTGTCCTGCCTCTGGGCCTGGCTGACTCTCCCTCCTCCCTCCCCAGGCCCATCTCCTCTCCTCCCTGCCGCGGAACAATGCCATGCCAGGACATGCTGTCCACTTTGGCCCCGTGGTAAGCTCAGGGAACAGGGGCCACAGCCTGGTCACCGGCACCAGGCATACAGCAGCTGCTCAGCAAGTACACACTGAGGGATGAACCTCCAGACAAGAGGTGTGTGGGGTCCCTGGAGTGGAGGAGCCAGCTGGACCCAAAGACGGAGAGGAGTCTCTCCCTCACATGTGCTGCAAACACCACCTGCTGGATCCTGAAAGCCTGTGCATCTACCCGTAGAAAAGGCAGCACCACATTTACTGTTGGAGAAACTGAGGCAGGTAATGGTCTGGTGAGCTGCCCAGGCCCCTCAGACTCAGGCCTGAAGCTTGCATGCTGCTACCAAGGGGCAGTGTAGCTGGTGCACTGGTGTGTGGGCACAGGGGCAGGGATGGAGTTACCTCCTTGCCACTCTCCAAGAGGACTGATACCAGAGATGAGTGACCCTTCCTCAAATAACTGTCTTGGGGGGCCCACCCACCTGAAAGGAGAAGCCTTGAAGCGTCCCCACTGAGCCTGCCCCAGCAATGGCGCAGGGGTGGTTGCTGGACTAGAAGTGACCTTCTCTAGTGACCATGGGCACATCTGTCAGCCCACAGGCCCCGGCCAGGCTGAGGGTGCAGAGGGAAAGGCTAGGGGCAGGCTGCTGGGAGCTGCAGCAAGTTCACCAGGAGGGCTTTTCCCACTGGGCCCCAAGACACTTCCCCACTGGCCTGCCTCCAGCCTGGACACAGAGCAGGGAGGAGATCGTCCAGCCACTGGAGCAGCCACAGCCACCAAAGGAACCGGGCAGGGCAAAGAACAGGAGCAGAGAAGATAGTTTCCTGCAGGAGGGAGCCTTGGCCGATGCCGGAGGTTGGAGAGGGTTTCAGGCCAAGGATGGAGGCCCATGCCGGAGGGGGCTGCAGGCGGAGGACAGGCAAATGTACAGGCGCAGAGGCAGGAGAGGCGTGGGTTCCCCAGCAGGAGACCAGTCCAGGCACTGCTTCAGCCACACCCTCAACTGCGAAGCCCTGTACCTCCCCTCCTTGAAGCTATCCCAGACCTTTTCCTTCTCTCTCTCTCTCTCCCTTTCTCTCTCCAGAACGGAGCCTGGAGTAGCTTCACAAGAGCAAAAGTTTCAAAACATCTAAGAAATGCCACTGTCAAGGCAGCTGGAGCCTTGTAAGTCAGGGGCCTCCAAGTCACCTCGACAGTAGTGGGGGCAGAGACCTGAGAGTCCGGAGACCACCAGAGCCGAGGAAATGCTGCAGAGACCCAGCGGATTGCCAGCCATTGCCAGCACTGGCCAGCTGAGGCCTGGCCCATGGGAGGGCTGGAAGTAGGGTCGGGCTGAGATCCTAATGATCCAGAGCAGAGCCTGCAGGGCCAGGGCTCGGAAGGGGCAGATGCCCATCTTTACTGGTATGAGACTGTAGGCAGCTGCTCTATTGCTTGGTCCTGCCTTGTGGAGGGGTTTCAAAGAGAAGGAAGGGGACCCCGGGAATGGGCCTTACAAATGGCCAAGTCCCTGTTTGTTTCTTCTTTTTTAGGGTTTTCACTCCAAAACCCTCTCTCACCTTTGGCTAAAAACCAACTGACTCTTCCCAAACACAGGACAGCCTCCCATGGACAAAGACCTGGTTCCACACTGCTCCATGGCCCACGGCTCCCGCTCTAGCCCAGGATGGGGGAGCTGCCAGGAGACACTGCTGGGCCTTGGCTCTGAACCCTGCAGGGCTGCGCTCAGGCAAGCAGGCTTGGGACAAGTTCAGAGGAGCACCTACTGGGCCCTTGGAAGCTGCTGGCTGTCTGTGCTATGCCTGCCCCATCAGAACAGCTGGTCAGCTCTAGGACCCCAGATCTGGAGAAACGCGTGAGTGGAGAATCCTGCTAAAGCATGTCAACCCATCAGAAAAGCCCCAGTGCCTGGGGCTGGGGAGCGAGGGGGCATCCCACTCCCATGGTCCAGGCCTCGGAGTCCTACCGGCCACTACCACACAGGTTCCCAAGGTGTGGTGCTGACATGCACACCCACTGTGTGACACATACATGCAGAGGGCACATGCTCACATGCACACACATGCATGCACCCACTGTGTCATGTGCACGTGCACAGAGGGCACGTGCTCACATGCACACGCACGCACATGCACGCACACACGCACGCACATCACAAGCCGCATGGGGGCCTTGGGCAGTGCCCGCCGAAGCACGGCCCGCACTTGCCACCTGCCTGCGGCCTGCTGGGAGTTTCCAGAACCTCACCAGCACAAGGCTCCGTCTGAGGTGATGAAATCAAGTTCTCCTCTATTGTTTCCCCAGAACTGCGGGGAACAAACCCGTCACGTTGTTACAACAACCAAAATGTTCAGGCCAAAATGATGCATCGGCAATTAAGGGCTCCGTCATTTCAAGCAATTAAAATAAACGCTTTATTTGAAAACTAATTAATTCGAGCTACATATTTTTCCCATGACAATATCCTATGATTACTTGATTTATGACATCTAATTATTCTTTATTAATCTAATTGAGAATAATCGCGTTATCCTATCTCCCCTGGCAGCGGGCCGCCCGGAGCGGAGGCCGCAGCCCCTTGTGCAACACCGGTGCGCGGTACCCGCCGCCCGCCACCGCTGCCTTCCCCTGTTCTGTCACTCGTCTTTTCCTCCCAGAGGGCAGAGGAACATGAAACTTAATCCACTGAGCACAACTTCAAATTTTGCCTGCTTTTCGAGATGTCAAAGAGAGACACATTCTTTTCAAAATTAAAAAGAAAGACAATCTGACACGATTTGCGCAACTCTGACAGCCTTTCCAACGGATGCTGCTAGCCCCCGAAAGCCCCTCAGGCCCTTGGTCCCCGGATGGAGGAGGACAGTGCCCCCCTGCGTCCCACCTCAGAGGCGGCAGCCGGGCAGGCCTCAGGGCTATCCCCACAGGGCGGGGCCTGGGGAGCAGTGGCGGGCAGGGGTCCCCGTGGAAAGGCACCTGCGTGGCTGCGACTAGGCTACACCCGGCATTCACCCTCCCACCCAGGCACACACACGTCAGGCACACTTCCCAGCAGCCATGGGAAGGCAAGGAAACAACCAAGGACTGGCAAACGCAGATGAGGCAGGGCCAAGGGAGAAGTGAGACCGCAAAGACCAAAGATCCCTATGTGTGTGTGTGTGCCTCAGCCTAACCCACGAGTCAGCCCTGAGCACCCACCATGCACTCAGCCACAGAACCCTTTCCTTTTAATTGCAGGGACCACTCGTCCTTGAAGAAGCTTGCAATCAACAAGGAGCACTGAGAAGTGAGCCAGAACAGGGAAGCCACCACCCAGAGACATCCATGCATTGTTTCTGCCAGCTCCAGACCACAGGGTCCTGCTTTACCCACTGCATGCGTCTGGGAGTGCAAGGACAGGCTGCACAAGACACTGGGAGTGCCTCAAACAGGCAGCCCAGGCCCTCTGTAAGTGGGCCACACCAAAGCACAGAACGGCTCCAGCAGCCCCGCAAGGTACCTAAGAATTCCCAAACCAGCACAGACTAGGGAGGCACCACTTCCTAGCAGGAGAGATGCCCACAAAACAACTAAAATAAAAACCCCACATCATCAGTATATCACTAAGCTGTCAAAAAGGAAAAGTTTAGGGGCACCTGGGTGGCTCAGTGGTTGAGAATCTGCCTTTGGCTCAGGTTGCGATCCTGGGGTCCTGGGATCAAGTCCGGCATCGGGCTCCCCGCAGGGAGCCTGCTTCTCTCTGCCTATGTCTCTGCCCCTCTCTGTGTGTCTCTCATGAATAAATAAATAAAAATCTTTTAAAAAAGGAAAGAAAAAGTTTAGAACCTTCAGAGGCCAAACACTAAGTGGAAGTCAAACGTAGTAAGGTCTGCAGGGCCCCCAGTTGGCACCTGCCAGAGGGCATTTGCTACATTGTGACCTAGAAATCTGGTTCCCAGGCAAGGCCTCTTAGTCATGACAGACAAAGCTTAGCACCCGCTCCCCTGCCCCCACTACAGTGGACAATCTCATAGGAGCATCTCCATAAAGATGAGACCCTATAGAGCTAAATGATCAGTGTAAGACGGAGCCAGAAGTAAACCTACACCCAGAGGTACCAGAATGATGCCAGCCCTCAAGCGTTAGACCTCATCTACACCACCTCAGGAGGTTGCCAAAACTTCCGTCTGTGAATATCTCTCATAAGGAACCCACCTTCTACGCAGGTCTGAAGGAATTCACCAGGAAAGCCCTACAAAATACAAGTAATTAGAACTCATGGAAACAAAAAAGGAACTACGGTACCATGAGTGAGAGCCATAAGAAACAACAAAAGGCAGAACTAGACCCTAGAACACAAAGCATTCGGGCATAGAAAATAAAGATGTTCTGTGCTTTTAAGGAAATAAAAAGGACTAAAATTGCAAGTGGAGAGCATGAGATTGTAAAAGTCACCACTCATATTTGAAGAAGGACCTAACCAGGTGAAAGGCTGTTGGGAAACAGGAGATTTGCACTGTGCCAAGGTACTATGCTACAGATTATTTACTGATCACAAGAGAAGAATGTTCCTTAACAATGGAGATGTCTGGCTG